ATCCCTATAATGCGAATATTGTTCCTTTTGGATTGGTCACACAGTTCTCTCAATATTCTTTCATTCTTAGAGATCCTTTTTTCTCTCAGTGCCTCAGCTTCTTTGTATTCCTCTTCTCTAGTTTCTATTTCATTTATCATCTCCTCCACTGTATCCAACCTGCTTTTAATACCATCCATCATGCCCTTCAATGATTGGATCTCTGACCTGAATTCATTCCTGAGTTCTTGGATGTCTTTCTGGACCTCCATTAGCATGTTGATGATCTTTATTTTGAACTCCCTTTCAGGAAGAGTCATAAAGTCCATGTCATTTAAGCCTTTCTCTGAAGTTATATTAATTTTACTTTGGACCAGATTCCCTTGGTGTTTCATATTTGTATATGGCGCCCTCTAGTGTCCAGAAGCTCTAATCTGGAGCTGCTCAGCCCCTGAAGCAATGTCGGGGGTCACAGGGGAGCCGTACTGGTGCCTGGCGGGAGGAAAGAGCTGTTCCCGGCTTCCCTGCTGCTGTGCCTCTCTCCACTGCTGGTACCAGTGGGCTGAGCACACAGATATAAGCTTTTGTCTCAGAGCAGTAGGATATGGATCCCTGCTTTCCACAAGTGGCAGGAATCCCAGTCTTCCCAGGATCTCCGTCTGTCCCAGCTTTCCAACCCCATAATCAGAAGAGTATCATGAAAGCACCATGAAATGCAGGTTTGTTCTCCCAGAGCGGATCTCCGGAGCCAGGTATTCAGCAGTCCCAAGCCTTCCACTCCCTCCCTGATCAGTTTCTCTTCTTCCCGCCGGTGAGCTGGGGTGGGGGAAGGGCTCGGGTCCTGTGGAGCCACAGCTCTGGTAGGTTACCCCATTCGCTGAGGTCTGCTCTTTTCTCCAGTTGTGTGCAGTCTGGCGCCATCCTCTTTCCTGTTGCTCTCTCAGGATTAGTTGCGCCAGCTATATTTTCTAATTGTATCCGGTTTTAGGAGGAAGCCAGTGTCTCTCCTCTCATGCCGCCATCTTTTGAGAAGCTGTATTTTCAAGTAAGTTTAGGAGTAAGAGGAGAGCAAGTACCTACGAGGGGTCACAAATGTAGGTGCTTCTGGAGGCCAGGCCGTTAACATCAGCAGGTTAGAGTGAGACAATGAATGCGAATCAGCTCGTGTTCCTTCATAAAACTTGCCAGGCACTTCCACTGCACTTACATAAATCCCACATTTCTTTCCATGGCCTGCAAGATCTTACGTGAGTTGACCTTGCCTTTCTTTTCTAACGCATTTACTGCTTTTTTTTCTTCCTGGCTGTATTCTGTTCCCAGTGATCTATGTGGTTTTCAAACACATGAAGCAAATGCTTGAGTCAGGGTCCCCTTCCCCCCAGGCAAGCTCTCTTCCCCCAGGTGCTGTGCGTCTGGCTCCTCGGCACTTAGGTCGTGACACGACCGGCACCTCGGAAAAGCCTGCCTTCACTGCCCCGTCTGAAGGAGAGGCCCACCCACCCTGTCTCGGACCTCTTCTTATAGCACGCATCACTACCTGAAGCTGTCTTGTGATCTCCTTTCATTCCATGAAGCAGGAACCTGTCGTGTGTGCCCATTCCCCAAGACTTAAATGGAGTGAATAGGAGAGCCTAGTGCTTCTGGGTGTAGAAGGAGGGACCAGTGAAGCCTGAGGAAATTGGAAAAATCCACACATTGTATATTTTAAAGAACGATGCAGAGAAGGAGCCACATGAGGAGGACAGGAGGGAGGAGGAGAGCTGAAGCGACCGTGGCGGGGGAACAGCAGTGAGGCAGCTGCAAAGCACCCATCAAGGTCCGCGCGGCTCCAGCCCTGCCCTGGGTGATGGAGCAAGCCAGGGAATCGGGTCGGTCTCCGAGGGCAGGTGCCCGCGGGTTCAGGAAGCTGGAAAGGTCGTAGAACCCTGACTCCAAATGAGCACATCCGGACACTTCTGGGGGAGGAGCCTTTGATCGGAGGCATGTTCTGTCCAATCCAAATTATTTGTGCTTTCAACAATAAATAGCTACAGGAGGCCCTTTTAAGGCAGGAAGCCCTTTTGAGGCTGTGCTTTCCGAAGATTTCTGAGAAGCTTTCATCTATGAATTTTAGGAAAAACGACTCTCCAACGTAAAGTTGGGCATTCACTCAGTGTAAGAAGCTTTAGGGATTCAGACGAGGGCAAGTACCTTCTTTTGAGGCCAGTAGGCCTCACAGCCTGCTGAGTGCCTGTGCTGTGTGTGAGCATTTCCTCACTGCTTTCCTTCATGTGGAGCCCACACATTGGGACTTTTCTGTTTTTCAGGCTTCTGCTTCAGCTCACCCAGTCTCAGCAAACATCATTTGCTTTGGAGAGGAACTTAAGGACTCAGCAGGAAATTGAAGATAAGATGAAACAGTTCAGCTTCAGAGAAGACACTTTGCTGTTGATAGCTGAGGTGAGTGTACCCCTGAGGGCTTATGTGAACTGAGGCACCAGAAAGGTTTTTCTTGGCTCTGATACCATGTTTTAAAAAATGGCCAAATCTCATCTACTGTCTCCCTCCTTACATGCATTTTCATAGCTCCAGGGAAGCGGCTCCCCATTCTCTTTCTCCTGCAGTGCACTAGAAGGCAGGGGCCATGTTTCACTGGCTTGTTGGCACTTGTTGGTGCCTGTCTGCTTGACATCGTAAATGCCCAGGAATTGTTTTTTGAGTGGTGAATGAATGAGTGAATGATAACATAAGTGCAGCGCTTTCGTATGTTTTTCCCTGTGTCCTCATAACAGCCTGTGGAGTAGGACAGCTGAGAGTGAGGGAGTAAGGCTCAGAGAGGCTTGCCTCAGATTTTAAGTGGCAGAGCTAGGCTGAAACCCACCCAGCTGTGAGTTCATTTTCTTTCTGCTCCACCCTGTTACTACTTTGATGGTGGCAGAGAAATTCAAATGTCAAAAATTTTTAAGCCTTTATTAACTTTTTAAAAATATGCTGTTGAAATTTCTTAAGATGACATTTGGAGATTATTTATGTATTTAAGTTATTCACACTAGTTCCTTTTGGTATTTGATTGAAACTTGACAGCTCAAGCCCTTGTCCCCTGAGAATAACTCTCTGTGCACAACATCCTAACATCATTTTTCATATTGCATATCTGACTGCATACCTGCGATTGCCGGGCTCCTTTCTCCCTTCCCCGAGGTGAGCACTCACTTGGACCCTTCTTCCCATTCTAGGATCGTGCTCCCTTACCTGCTCTCTTCCCACCTTTCCCCTCCGTGGGGGACACCGCACAGATACCCTGTCTCCCCTCGACCCCTGTGGCCTCCCTTGCCTTTGTTTTCCTTCGTCTTCCGTAGCACTGGGGACTGTTGACCACTCACTTTGTGTCTCCTCTTCCCTTTACTTCTCAGGGGCTGCATGAATCTGGTTTTCTCCTGTATTTCTTAATATTCCTCTGCCCCTTGAGACCCCACTAGTGTCCTCTGTGTCCTATGTAACGACATTCTCTGAGGTTTCACTTAGGTTTTCTGTTCTAGCTACCTTTCTTTCAGATCATAATCTTTTGATAGTTTCAGTTCTGGATTGATTATCCTCTGGTCTGTCCCATCTCTGGAACACCTGTCTCACCTCTCTGATTAATTACCTCCTGAGTGATTAATCTCAGATGGTTATTGATTATTCTGTCACTTCAAATACAAAATGTCTAACACGGAACTACTCAGCAACACCCTCTTCAGTCTTCCATTGGCACCCAGCACAGCAGCGCAGGGCCTTTCATAGGCCTGGCCTCCAGTGAGTATTTGTTGAGAGGAAGCAGAGAGGAGTTGGAGAGAACCATCTACACTCAGTTTTTTTCACTGATGCGTTCTTCTTTTATCCAGACCTGGACCTCTACTCGCCACCGGCTTCTTTCTCCTCTTGCCAGGCACCAAGCTCACCCTTTCTTCAGGGCCCACCTTTCATTTCTCTTTCACCGTGAGTACCCCAGCCCTGATCAACTCCTGTTTGACTCTCAGAGTGACTCCTGGCTTTCTTGCTGTCTCCCCTTAGATCTGTCTATCTTGAACATTGCCGTTGCTGAGTTCATCCTAAAACATTTCTTTGACCACATTATCTGCTTGCTTAAAAACTAAAATGCGTCACTGTGAGCTCAGGGGTCAGGTCTAGCTTAGGTGCCTTGGTGTGATGCCCACGCCTTCCAGAGAGTCTCTTCAAACTTAAGACCTCGTAAGTCCTTACACAGATCTTTTGCTTCCACTCGTCTGCCATGTGCAACAAGCTGTCATGGGTTTTCCCTTCTCTGCCTATTTCCCATATACTCGTCTTCAAGACCCCCAACTCCAGGAGGCTTTTCCTGACTGTCCTAGTCTGTGGCAAGCTCTCCCTGCTCTGAGCTGAGACAGAGTAATTGCTTGAGTAGATAGCTCTTAGGGCCCTAAAAAAACAAACAAACAAGAATATGTCTTATCTTTTCAACTTAATTTTAAGTTCTTTTTAAGTGAGAGTATTCTTATAAGTAAGACATCCTTACAAGATGTCATCAGTATCTTAATACCCTTCACCATGCTCAATGTATCTGTGGACTGACAGGAATAGCAGCTCTCCACCTGGACAATGCATGTGAAATACCTGTGGAGCCTTTTAAAAGAGACAAATGTCTGGGCCCTAGTTAGGATTGTAATGTACATTTCATTCTGTGCTCTGTTAACTTTACTTAACACTGTGGCATGAGCATGATCCTTATGCTTAAATATTCTTTGATTGCATACATTTCCTTTTTATATATATGTATATTTATTAGGATCCATATAAGCTCCACATCCTGTATTTGGTTCTTCTGTCTCTAGCATCTTCTATTCTCTAACAGTTCACCTTCCCCAGCTTTTTCTGTGTGTGTATGATAAAGAAAATATATAAAACATAAAATTTTTGTTTTAATCATTGCTTAGTATACAATTCAGTGGTATTAATTACATTCATAGTGTTGTGTAACCATCACCACTATTTCAAAATGTTTTCACCACCCCAAACAGAAACTCTGTCACCATTAATCAGTAATTCCCATTCGTCCCTCCACCCCCAACCCCTGGTAACCTCTAATCTACTTTCTGTGGCTATGAATTTGCCTATTCTAGACATTTCAAATAGAATCATGCAGTGTTTGTCCTTTTATGTCTATAAGGCTTATTTCATTTACCAAGTTTTCAAGATTCATCCATATAGTAGCATATATCAGAACTTCATTCCTTTTTGTGGCTGAATAATATTCCATTATATATACATACACACCACATTTTGTTTATCCATTCATCTGTTAATGTATACTTGAGTCTTTCAGCTGTTGTGAATAATGCTACTATGAACACTGGCATCCATATATCTGAGTTCCTGATTTCAGTTCTTTTGGGTATATACCTAGGAGTGGAATTTCTGGGTCATATGGTAATTCTGTTTTAACTTTTTTTTTTGAATTAAAGAATCATTGATGTACAATCTTACATCAGTTTCAGATATACAACACATTGCTTCAGCAGTTACCCATATTATTAAATCCTTACCCCCCTCTAGTGCAGTTACTGTCTATCAGTGTAGTAAGATGTTACAAAATCATTGACTATATTCTCCATGCTGTACTACCATCCCCATGATCAACTTATATTGTGATTGCAAATTATTATGCCCCTTTACCCCCTTCACCCTCCCCCACAACTGGTCCCAACCCATCCCTCTTGGTAACCACTAGTCCCTTCTTGGTGTCTGTGAGTCCACTGCTATTTCATCCTTCTGTTTTGCTTTGTTTCTATACTTCACAAATAAGTGAAATCATATGGTGTATTTCTTTTTCTGCCTGGCTTATTTCACTGGTCATAATACCCTCTAGATCTATCCATGTCATTGCAAATGGGAGGATTTCTTTTTTTATAGTTGAATAATACTCCATTATGTAAATGTACCACATCTTTGTTTTTATTGAAGTATCATTGATAAACAATCTTAGAAAGGTTTCACATGGACAACATTGTGGTTTCAACATTCACCCATATTATCAAGTCCTCACTCTCCCATTGCAGTCACTGTCCATCAGCGTAGTAAGATGCTATACAGTCATTGCTTGTCTTCTCTGTGCTTTCTGTGACCTACCTATATTGTGAGTGCTAATTATAATTCTCCTTAATCCCCTTCTCCCTCCCTCCTCTGCCTCACCCTACTCAACCCCTTCCCTTTGGTAACCACTAGTCCCTTCTTGGAGTCTGTGATTCTGCTGCTGTTTTGTTCCTTCAGTTTTGCTTTGCTTTTATACTCCACAGATGAGTGAAATCATTTGGTACTTGTCTTTCTCTCCCTGGCTTATTTCACTGAGCATAATACCCTCTAGCTCCAGTCATGTTGTTGCAAATGGTATGATTCGTTTTCTTCTTATGGCTGAATAGTATTCCATTGTGTATATGTACCACATTTTCTTTATCCATTCATCTATTAATGGACACTTAGGTTGCTTCCTTATCTTGGCTATTGTAAATAGTGCTGTGATAAATATAGGGATGCATATGTCTTTTTGAATCAGGAACCTTGTTTTCTTTGGGTAAATTCTTGGGAGTGGAATTCCTGAGTCAAATGGTATTTCTATTTTTAGTTTTTGAGGAACCTCCATATTGCTTTCCACAGTGGTTGTACTAATTTACATTCCCACCAACAGTGTAGGAGGGTTTCCCTTTCTCAGCATCCTTGCCAACATTAGTTGTTTCTTGTCTTTTGGATATTTTCTTACTAATTTTTAAGAGCTCTCTATACTAAGCTTACTAATGTTTTATATGTTGCAGTATATTCTAAAGTTCATGGTGTTTTTTTGGTATATAGAAGTTTAAAGTTTTTATATGGCCAACTGTTTTTGCAAATTTTTGATTCTCATCCATGATTTACCTGCTGATCCCTCATTTTCCAATATTTCATTGTTTGTATATTACTATTATTCAATTCTATTTTTTTAATTAAGAAAAAAGACTTTTTGTGTTATATCTCAAATTTTAAGATGCTACATTTCATTGAATATAAGAAGCCATTAGTTGTAAGACATATCATTATTTGATGTGGCACTAAAAGAAATATAAGGCACCATTTACACTCTGACACACCTGTGGTTATAAGATACATTTGATTTCAGAAATGTTAATACACAAAAACAGTCATCTTAGAATTGATGAAAATACCATGCTTTAATAAATGCTGAGTTGTCTGGTTAAGTCATTCATCTTATTGGCTCTTGCCTCAAACAATATGTAGTCATTGAAGATTTAAAGCCAGGGGAAGCCTTTTCTCTGAGTGTGCTAGGATCTCAGGGTTTGCAGGAAACAAGATCAGCTAGTCCAAATCCAAAGGACTTAAATTCCCTCTACAACATCCTTGCCAAATGGCTCCCTAACGTTTCATGCCAGATGGTATGAAATGTTTTAGGACTTAATTTTAGTTCACTCTTCTTACCAAATGTGGGCTGATCGCTTAGTGGGTTCAGATGCAAGCTTTCTAAAACTTAACTTTGCAGGCATTTTAGGAGAGAAACTAACAGAGTCTGGGCCTGATTCTGACCAGTGGGGAGCAGTATTGTGCCTCAGAGGCCAGCGTGCTCTTTACGTCCCTGAGGTCGCGTGGGAACAGCTGTAGAGGGATTGGGTCTCTCTGGGTGAGGAAAGGGCGGGCCCAGCTGCTCCTACTCCACTGTTTACTGCCAAGAGTCTGGGCCTGATTCTGACCAGTGGGGAGCAGTATTGTGCCTCAGAGGCCAGCGTGCTCTTTACGTCCCTGAGGTCGCGTGGGAACAGCTGTAGAGGGATTGGGTCTCTCTGGGTGAGGAAAGGGCGGGCCCAGCTGCTCCTACTCCACTGTTTACTGCCTTTGTCTTCTTTGGAGAACTTCTCAGAGGAAGAACCTGCTCCCCCAGCAGCCTTTCCATTCTGCCTAAGGTCTGTTCTCCAGTCATTTTACTAGGAGGCAGAAGCCTAGCAGCTGCATTCTTGCTGACAGACAGGCTGATAGAAGGAAGATGACTCGGCAATCTCTACGCTGACTAGTAGTGCTGCCACGTTTGTATTCCAGTGGTTTGTTCACTCGGAGAGATGAGAGTAGAAATAGGGGATATTTTACATGTGGTCTTTGGATTGCTACTTCTGGACAAGCATATTTGCAATATGTTAGAACTGTCAGAATTGTCCCTGGCTCCTGAAGTATCTTTGCTTTGGTATGAAATCCTTTATACTTGATAAATAGCTTAGTCATCCTTTCCATGCCTATACCCCTTTTATTGGGACAGGTTTTTTTTCCTACTTCCACAGGTTATGGGAGAAGATATCGTCCCAGAAAAAATAAAAGATGAGGTTCACACAGAGGTGAAGTGTGTTGGTTCTGCAGCCCTGACTGCCTTGGTGATTGCATCCTCAAAAGAATTTGAAGACAAGTGGTTCGGAAAGATCAAACAGCAGTCCTGTCCCTTTGAAAATGAGTTCCATTCAGAGATACAAATCTTGGCTTAGTTGTCCCTTTAAAAATAAAACATCTTGCACTATATTAATTGTCCTTTTTTACTCCGGACAAGAATCCACCGCTGATCATGGAATATAGTGAATTAAAAATGATTATTTATGTTTTATAAAAATGGCTTCTCTCCCAGGTTATTTCTACTATGTTTAGTTTCTTGATTTTTTGTGTTTAGATTTATCATTCACTTATTGTAGGCCTGCTACCCTTTAGAAGATAACTGTTAGGAAAGTGTACAAAAGAGGCTTTTAGATTTCATAGTCTTTTGAAAACACATTCTGTATTATAACCAGCAGTGTAAGTATCCACATTGCTTAGGTCAGTTTATCAGGAATGACCAAGAATGCTGAAATGTGATAGTAAACCATTTCTGAGAAGGGTGTGTCAGGGTCTGTGAAGGCCCCGAGATTTTACCATACCTGTGTGCCCGCACGCTCGCCTGCCAGCTTCATGGATGCTTAGGAGGCTGACTCATGCTCTAGCATATGGTAGAAGCTCCAGCATACTTGCTTCAGTTCCACTTCCCTCCAAGCCCCAAGGGGGTGATGCATATGGGCGCAAATGAACGGGCATATATGCGAGGTTGCATTATAGAAGAGGAACCCTGAGCTCAGGAAACTCAAATCTTTTGTAATGGGTCATAAACATGCTTACCCGGGCTTCAGAGAAGGGCACCATTTCTTTTTAAAGGCTGTTTGTTGCAAACAGCCTTTAAAAAGATAGTCTGGAATGAAGGGCAGTTAATGTCTTGCTCACAAGACACACAGAAACACAGGAGGCCCGTGAAGCACTGCCTCCCAGGGTGACTATCCTTTCCTTTCAGCCACACACATTGTAATGCTGGTCCATACCATCTTCAACTCAAAGGGCCATTGCTCAAATTACCTAGGATGGAAGAGAAACCTTGTGAGAAGTGGAATTTAATAATAAATGAAAAACTTTATCAAATGTCTCACACAGCTTTTAATTTTACTTTTCTCAGCAGAGGAAGAGAATTCCCTCATTTATCTCTAATGTGCAAGAAAAGACCGAACGATTGATAGACATTTCAGTTTTTAGGAGCCATTGAAAAGCATGGAAACCCCAGAACAGCTCCCCACTGCCCGCCTTCAGTTCCCTGAGCTGAGAGCTCCAGTGATGAGACCAGCACGCAGTTGCCTGGAGATGCTGGTTCTCGCGGAGTTTGCAGACTGGCATGTGGCTGGCCCTCAGGCAGTGCCTACTGGAGCAAGGGCTGCAGGCCTTCATGGTATGGCCTCCGGCTCCCTCTGCATCGCGTTGCCCTGCTCCCACCTTTAAATAGGCCATAACGTTCAGGCTGTCGTGCAGGCAGTTCATCCAGAACCTCTTCACGCCTGTCATGTGGCTATTTCACACTCAGCTTTCAAGCCTCTGCTCCGTTTAGCTTCCCAGAGCCTTATCCCCGCGTGGTGGTGGCCTTCCTGTTGCGTGCTCTTCCACTCCCACTTTGGCCCTACTTACTCTGTATTGGAATAATGTGTTTTCCATGATAGATTTAAACTTTGTAAAATTGGAGACTAGGATGCTCTTGTTCATATTTGTATCCCCAGGGCAGAATACCCAGCTGACATCTTGCTAAATAGTTGTTGAAAAGAACTGTTGAATTAATTGGCCAGCATCTTGTTTTGTTTGTACAAAAGGTTACTACCCTAAGGATCTGACACAGTGCTGAGGCAGTCGGAGCACCCCCCCTGTATCTTTTTCTGTGGCTAAAACCTCTTCCTCCCATTTGTCTAGGCCTCCTAGAAATGTTCTTTTCTCCTCTAGCCTCTCTTGGCTTCCCATCTCCATCTTAGCTGCCTTCTGACTTTGCCCATGCCTTGGGCTTTGAGGCGTCTGGCTCTCCTCCCTGCCCTCCTGTCCACACTGTCCTGAGCTGCCTGACCGTCTTCCTGAAACTGCTCATGCCCTCACTCCCATCCCCCTCACTTTCCTGGCAGTGGCGTGTCAATGCATGTGAGGACCCAGCCTCCTGTTCTCTGATGCCTCAGCTATAACACAGGGTGGGAGAGGCCACCCAAAAGACCGGGCACCTCTGGGTTTCATCACACACAAGTCATCTTAATCATTTCCAGCACCGATGAAGATTGAGCAATGATTATGCTAAAGAAAAATGTAGGCCTGCCTACTGAGACACCCCACCCTCTTGTCAATGAATGAATCACTCAGAAGGTGAGCAAATGTGAAGCACAGAGGTGACTGTGCTCCAGGCAGGTGGGTGGGACCCAAGAACAACTCTTGCTGCTGTGACTTTGAGAAGGCCCGTCTTCAGCTTTTTCTCGCAAGGGAGAGTCTGTGTCTGGTATTCGAGCTGTTGCAAGTCCTTTATCCTTTACCCTCTTACATCCTGGCAGTCTTCATACTGTAAAGCCAAAGGGACCTTACAAAATAAAGATCATTCTCAGCATCCTTCAGTGATTTCCCAAATCCTTTATGAGGCCTTGAGGCCCTGCTTGGTCTGACCCTGGCCCACTCCACCCCAGCTCATTCTGTCCTTTTTTCTCATGGCCACAGACTCTTCAAGCATCCTCCCACCCAAGCCCTTTTCCCATCTAGTTACCTCTAATGGGAACATTCTTCCCTGCAATCCCCCAAGGCTTCCCCTTCCTAGAGAGCTCAGCTCAAAGGGCACTCTCAGGATGTCCCTGACTCCAGACTTGCCCTCTGCCTTTTTGTTCTACTGGGGCCCTCACCTCACACTGGGGAGGGTGATCTTTACTCAGTTCACTGATTTAAATGCTAATCTCTTCGAGAAACACTCAAAACACACCCAAAAGAATGTTCCATCAGCCATCTGGGCATCCCTTACCCCAGTCCGGTTGAATTAACCATCACACAGAAGCCGGAGGAGTGGGTTAGGGTCGGAAACATGCCATGCTGCTGGCTCTGAAGATGGAAGAAGGGGCCAGGAGTCAAGGAATGCAGGGGGTCCGCAGAAGTTAGAAAAGGCAAGGAAACAGATTCCCTCTTAGGGTGTCCAGGAAGGAGCTGCTGACACTTGATCTTAGCCCAATGAGACCTGTGTTAAGTCCTGAACTAGAGAACTGTAAAGTAATAGTAGATGTTGTTTTATGCCAGGACACTTGAGTCTGTTTGTTATACCAGGAGTAGGAAACTCAAATATAAAGTAACCTTCCTGTAAGTTAAGCTTGCTTGAGCTTGTTACAGTTACTGTTACATGCAACCAAAAAATCACAGTATGGGCCACTCGGGTCCTTTCAACCTTGTTTTAGATTAAGACTGTGTCTTGAAGGTGCTATTCCTTTTATATATGGCATTCCTTTGTAAAACCTTGATAGAACATCGTGGTAGGAAATACCAAAGGTAAGATACAACACCTTCTTTCAAAGAGCTTACATCTCTAGTAGAGGTACGAGGACATCCACATCAGTAGCAAATAAGAGGCAGGAGGGAGGTCTGGACAGCACCGAAGTTCAGAGGAGGGCTGGGGCTTCAAAGAAGTTTAGTGAAGATGAAGGCGGCAACATCTGAGTTGGACCTTGGGACAGGGGAGAGTTTGTAGCAGGCTTGGTGGAGAATAAAAGGCAGGCAAGGCATGACATGAAGGCTGGTTGTCCAGGTTAGGGGTGTAAAGAGACGTGGTAGGGGCTGAGGCTGGGCAGGTAAGCCAGTGTCAGATTATAGAGGTTTGTCAATGCCCTGGAAAGAAGTTTGACTTTACTCAGGCAACAAATGCCAAGCTCTGGAAAGTTTTTGAGCCAGAGAGTGTCTGGTTTAGGGTTGTGCTTTAGACTGATAAATTTGATTTTCCTTTCCATATGTTTTCAGTCTTTGAGCTCATATAATATGTGTTTTCTGGGTCTAGGAGAGCCCCAAATATGAGCATTAATATGGAGGGTGGAGGTAGACTCAAGACACCCAAGAGGTCCCCAGTGCCTCAGGGAATTCACATTATTGTAGAGTTTATTACTCTCTAGGGCTTCCCGTTGCACTTAGAATAAACCAAACTCTAACAAGGCTTGGTTGGCCCACTGTCTGGCCTGCTCTTCTGCCGTTTGCACGGTCACCTCTCACTTTCAGGTCTCAGCTCCTGTCTCCCCTCAAGCAGGCCTGCCCTGCCCCCCTCATTCTCTCTCAGCAAACTGCAGATCAAGGAAATGCAAACCCTACAGGCAGCGATGTTCTGGGCACTGTCACACAGGCTCCCTGAGAGCTGGCAGCACATCACCTTCACCCGACATTGGCTGCCCAGCCCCTGGCACACTGCGAGGCCAAATTTCTAGTTAAATATATGAATTCGGGCCCTGTGGGAGTAGAAGTCAAGGCTGGGCTCCAGAAGTTGGGTTGGGAAAATTCCACCAAGAAATAATGAACTGGATGCTTGTACAGGCTGAGCTCCTGGGGGGCCCCAGAACAACCGTGCTGGGTTCGCCTCCCCACACAGAGACCGCCAGTGCACTGCCTGGGCCTGTGAACGCGGCAGCATGGATGCGTGGGAGGAAAGTTGCAGTGCAGGCCCTGGAGCACTTCTGCTTCGGGGCAGCTGTTCTCAGAGAGGAGCCACCAGAAGCAAGCTCCTGACTGCTGGCAGAGAAACGCTGTTTGAATCAGGAAATCACATCTCTGGAGGCCTCACTGAGATGACTCAGCTGCTGCTGTCCTGCAGCAGGACGGGAGAGAAGAACCATGGGGAGTGAGGGAGGGCAGGCAGCAGCGGTGGATAAAGCCTCCACGGGAGACCTGCCAGTTACAACTACATTGTGTCCCCCCAAAATCATATACTGAAGCCCTAACCCAGTACCTCAGAATGTGACTGTTGGACACAAGGCCTTTAAACTCCTGACACCAAAATCTGTATTAGGGCTCTCCAGAGAAACAGACAGAACCGATAGGATGCGCATTATCTATCTATCTATCTATATTAAACTCCTGACACCAAAATCTGTATTAGGGCTCTCCAGAGAAACAGACAGAACCGATAGGATGCGCATTATCTATCTATCTATCTATCTATCTATCTATCTATCTATCTATCTAT